AGTAGTCTCAACCTTTATCAACATAAGCCACTCTAGAACTCTAATATTGACATCTTATATCAATTTTCTAGGTGTGTTTGACACTTTGCATTGTATTGTTTATGCAAATCCCACTTCCCCACTTAGGAAGTTCTTTACTAAAGGGCACCATCATTTTCTCTTTTATTTCATGCCATTCTTAACACTAAATTTCATTTATCCATAATTTGTGTTAAATTTATTCATATCCCTATCATTTAGCTACTTTACCACTCCATCTTTATTAAAGTTTTCACCTTTGCTAAATTGGAGCATTTGAGAATTCATTTTTGGAAACATATTTCTTTTCCCACAATCTATTAGCCTTTACCACGTGGGTGTTCCTTGTCTAACTTATCATTTAGATTCCTTCCAATGATTTCCATGGTCCATTTTTGGCCACTAGTCTTTTGCTTCTATCCTTTGTTGCACCACATAACATAAAATCACTACCTCCATCCTTAAAATATCTTTTCGATTCTATAGCAAAAACTCTATTTTGCCAAGTCCAAAGGGTGTTCACCCATAGTAAGTCTCTTTAGTATTCTTTTGTTGTAAGTTTTATCCACAGCCCAACTTTATTTTATAGGTCTTTCCTAAAGACTATTTTTTTGGACTCACCATACCATTGCATTAGCATAACTCATTTTCTTGAGGTGTCCTTCTCACTTGGTCACCTTGACTTAGTTATACCATTACTAATAGTTCAAATCAACATTTTGAACTAAGAATTTTATTCTTTAACCAAACAAGGATTTTATCCTAGTTTAACCACAAGATCACTTAGTAATCTCACTTTAACATCTTAACAAATTTGCCAATATACCATGTTTTCACATTAAGAAATCTAATTGTGTATCATGACTTTGAGGCATCCCCCACTTGGTGGTAGGCCCAAGTTAGTCTCTTTATTGAGAGTCTATGACCATTGAAAAATAAGTATTCTCATATTCTAAACCATCACGATGCCCTAGTGAGTTGAGACTCGAACCCAAGCACTAAAAGGTTGAGACTTCAACCCAACCTCCATATATGCATCTACGAATAACATCACTTAGGATGCCTAACATGACTCCCCATGCTAATGCACTAATTTATACCCAAAATACGGTACAGATCACTCTCTAAGAACTTAGCTCCTCTAATTTGCCAAGTCCTCTCACTTAACAAATTTGTGATTATGTATGAATTCCTTAATATTTAGCCCCATAGGCCACCTTTTTTTAAGTTAACACCTTCAATTAAGGTCTTCGTTTTTCTGACTTGCCAATCTTGCTTAGCAAGCACTTGACTAGCATAACATAGTTCTATATATAAGCGTGAAAGTCTTTAAATACCAACTTTTGTTCAAAGCCATATTTTTTAACACTCAGGAGCTACCTCCCCAACTTTGATAGCATCACCTCATGGCAAACTTCAAGACCACACTTCTGTTGCACCACTCTAATTTCACACAATCCGATAAATTATGTAAACTTGTCTTTTTAAGCACCAACCTACCCAAAATTGTCTTTTGGGAACATTGAAGGGACTCTATCCTTTAGTTTGTTAAAACCTCTCTTTTTGCAAGCTTTTTCATTGCTATATAGTCTAATATAGATATTTCCATACTTTAGATTTTATATGGCATCACAGTTGCCAATAGCAACACCTTCGAGCACCCACTTGAATCTCCACTTTTAACTTGCATATGCCTTTCGATTTCTATGGTTTTGTTTTATCCCCTTATTACTTACTTTCAACCTTACACATTTCCTTCGGTTATTTTTCCTTTAAGCTAGGAGAATAATTTTGCACTTTTTATCATGCTTTAGCAATTATTCTTAGGGATGAACCTACCCGATGGTCTAAGGAGTGATTCCTCAATTCGAATATACTCACGTTATAATCCTATATATTAAAATTAACTTTGCTATTTATGAGCCTTTGTGTGCCCATTATTAGCTTATCCAAAAAAAATTTTGGCTTTGTCTAATTTTGGATAAATAGACTTCTTTTGTCTCTAGCTTTTTGCAACTTTAGATATTAAATAACATTAAACACTAAATTTGCTTTCTTTCGGGAACACCTTTGCCATGACTTTAGTATGGCATATTCTACCATCAATAAAATATTCATTATTCTCATACTTGGATTTTATGATCTTCCCCATCCTTTGTAGGGTATAACACACTTCAGTCCAAATGCTTTCACAAATCTTTTAAGACCATTCTTTAACCCCACTTGAGTTATAGCTTTTGGACTTTGCTAATCTAATAATTAGTAAGGTTTTACTTTGAATTGTCAACTCACTAGAATACAACTTTTTATATTCATACTCTACTCATAAAGATCATTTTTACAAGTGTTACTCTAACACTTAATTATTCTTTGTTCCATGTGGACTACCTCTACCCCTTAAGACTATCTATCCATATGATAAGAATACCGACTTATCCTCTAAGTACACCCCGAACTCCTTGGGTTGTTCCAATATGTATTAAAGATAGCCTTGGCTACCATTTTAAGGATTTGTGTTCTCATCTGTATTTATCCTACAGTCACTAACTTTAGTCTCAATTCTTAAGAACTATCCTCAAGTGTATGGAGATAATCTTATGACTCTTTTATCGTTCAGAGTTTTCATCATTCCCGTGATCCCAATTGTAGTTGTATCCCACAACCACATTATCTAGTTTGCTAAGTCAAACACTTTTATAAATCACATTTTCAACTCTTTGAGGAAAACTTTGTACTATTCTCAAAATCCTAAAGTCATTCCTTTGTTGGCCCCTTTCTATCCACCGCATTGCCTATATGTTCACAAATGAACTAAAATAGAGAGTTATGCCTTCTTGACATGCTACTCCTTGAGGATAGGCCTACACTTGGGACATCTTGATGCCAATACAAGTGGTGATATACTTAAATACCAATAAAAGTTGGATTAAGGAATAGTTCCAATACCAAATTGTAAACAATAAAATTTTCTATTTTACTTTAAGCACTTAACCACATCTTTAACAATTTAGAGAAGTTTCACTCACGAACTCCATAAGTTTTATTTCTGACTTGGGAATATGCTAGCCCTGTGAATGATATCTTTGCCACTTAGCCCTTGCACTTGGTCTAGATGCTCCACATGTCCAATCCCATGATCGACATCCAAAGGTACCACTAACATATCAACTTGTTATGCTAAAGCCATGGCCATTCACCCCTATTACATCAGTAGTCAAAAACCACATGCATCACAGTCCCATTTCTCAAAGACTGGGCCATCTGTCCATGAGTGGTCATCCTTTGACCACACTTTAGCACCCTTAGGGTGCTTCAAGACATGAAGAACACCTTTCCCCAATATCCCTTCTTCCATCCCCACCAAGTCCTTTTTCATTCATGGCTATGCTCGCTAACACCGCCATTGAGTCAAGGCTCAAACACCTGACCACTAAGTCCTATTGGCCTTTGGGATTTCCTCACCATGTGACCATATCCTTGGTCATTACATCAGAGGACTATTCCTCTTCTTTTTCATAATCTGAGACTTTGGGATGACATTTTGAAACACTGTAGCTCTATGCAAGCTTCATAGGTACTCTCCCCACCTTCTACCCTTAGGTGCTCTAGCCATGTGGCTAGAGTGAGGTTGGATTAGGAACATTGACCATTTGATCTCTTAGGGGAGCTAGAATTAGCTTTTGAACACTTCATCAAGCTACCCTGCTTGTCTGTCTGTATTCACTTTAGTCTTGGACTCCTTAGTGGTTATATTATCACCAAATACATGGGTATAACCTTCTTTAGTCACACTAGCTTTTCCTAGCTAAATTAGCTCTACTGAAGTCTTCCCCTTATTATACTCTTGGAGCTCACCAAACCCCCCAAGGTTTGGGAGACGATTATTTTAGGCTTTCACCCTCGAACTCGAACTCAACCTTAGGTTCATCTCAAACTCAACCTCGAACTCCTTCCTGACACTTCCCTCATCCCTTGAGCACTTCATTTAGAGTTTCACTCCCACTCAAGCTTTCACCTTTGGATTTGAACTCAATCTTGTACTCAACCTCAGGTCTATCTCAAACTCGACCTCGGACTCCTTCTTGACACTTCCCTCATCCCTTAAACACTTCATTTAGAGTTTCACTCCCACTCTCAACTTTTTAAGTTGCCTTTATCCCTTAAGCACTTCCTTCATCCCTTGAGCACTTCATTTAAAGTTTCACTCCTACTCTCAAGTTTTTAAGTTGCCATTATCCCTTGAGCACTTCCTTCATCCCTTGAGCACTTCAATTAGAGTTTCACTCCCACTCTCAACTTTTTAAGTTGAAGCCTTTGGTCCAAACATGTTACGTTTATTGGACTTTCACTTCATTTTTCTTAAAAATTTATATCTCAAGATGGATTCCTTTCATTGTATAGACTAACTATTTCATGTGAAGCAATTAGTCATCCATCTATACTATAGTCTTATAATAGATACCTAATATATACGATTTTAAATTTAGGAAAAGGAATATACTTTGCTCAAAGGTATATTATATTTTAAATAACCACTAATCAATGAAAATTGACCATTTACTCCTATATTACATATAACATAGTTTATCTCTTTCCCCTTAAACCAACTAGAAAAAAAGTAATTGCTTAATAAGAGAGCCTTTAGTAGTTATTTTATTCCACATGTTTCTAAGGATTCATAGTGACAATATATTTAAATCTCATCCTATAATCACATACACTACAAAAATGATAAAAGACATTTTTAGAAAAGTGTATAAACTTTATCTAACTCAATTATTTAAGCCTCTTTTTCAAATAGTATCATATAGTTTCATCAAGTTGAAGAGTTGAGCTTGTTTTTATTAAATGTTTCATAATGACTTTTTAATGCACCTTAAATATTGACTTCTTATTCATTTCAAAATATTAACTGGATTTTTTATCCATTTCAAGTATTTAATTACCTTTTGCACTTTTGTTTCAATAAAGGGAAAAACAACCTAACTGATGCTGGTCTGCTCAGAGTTTTGCCTTAAATCACAGAGGAAGCCAGGCTTTGAGATGGTGCCACTGATGTCCATGTCACCCATGAGCATCCCCACCACTTTATACATCACTGGGCGCTTGTTTTGACTGGCTTGTGTGCAGTGGAGAGCAACTGTGAACACTCGCTTGATCTCGTGAATCTCTCGCTCACCCACCTCCAGTCTCTTGTCAATGATCTCTTGGAGATTGCCACTTTGGAATGCATTCCATGCCTGTGGTGATCACACAAATCTAGAAGATCTAAACTTTAAAACCACATACTCACCCATTCGAGCAAGAAAAACTCGCTGAAGTCCATGTTTTTTCTTCCACTTATGATCTCAAGAACAAGAATCCCAAACGAATAGACGTCGGCCTTCACGGTGAGCTGACCATAGAGAGCATACTCTGGAGCTAGATAGCCACTAAAGATGGAAAAGTTAAAACAATTAGATAGAGAATTGGTGGAATAACTCACGCTGTTCCTGCTGCTCGTGTGCTGATATAGCTTCGACTTTGCTGGATCAGTCTTGCCAATCCAAAGTCCGAGATCTTTGGCTTGAGATCGCTGGCTAGAAGAATGTTGAGGGCTTTGATATCTCTGTGTACGATGGTTACCTGCGATGTTTCTCCGTGCAAGTATGCCAAACCTTGGGCAACACCCACACAAATGTTGTATCTGGCAGTCCAATCTAGCTGCAAATCATTCCGCACTGAAATGGAAGAAACTCTAGTCAATAACTCTTCATGATTTCTTAAAAGATCTCTTTAGAGTTGCTAACCAAACAAGGCGTCCGAGAGGTTCCCATTCTCGACGAGCTCGCAGACGATGAGCTTGTGTTCTTTCTCGGAGCAAAACCCGAAAAGCCTGACAACGTTTTTGTGTTGGAGCAGGCAAATCGTGGACACCTCATTCTCGAAATCCAGCCTCGCTTTCTCCGATAGATCGGAGCTTGTCAAGTATTTCACCGCAACAACGTGACTGTCTATAACTCCCTGAGTGTGTGTATCAACAATGGAGTTTTTCTCGGTAAGAAAGACCATCGAATTTAGACGAATACCTTGTATACACTCGCAAATCCGCCGGTGCCAATCAAGTTCTCCTTGTGAAATCCTTTCGTAGCCTCCTGGAGCTCTTCGTACGAGTATTTCTTCGCCTTGCTACCGGGTGGTAGCCAGTTCAATGCTTCCCCACCAGCTCTTATACTGCGCGTTCTTCGTCGCAAAATCACCACGACAATTGCCACTCCAACAACGAGCGACACCGCTCCCAAGAAAAATCCAAGAATCTTTGATCGTTTGTTGGACGAGCTTGAGCTCGTTCCATTCGGCAAAGGCAGCGAAACTGGACTGATCGTCGTGCCATTTCTCCCAATTGAAGATGGATCTGCACAACAAAGGTATGATCTCATCGTAAGCTCTTCAAAAGCTCGCCTTTGAAAGTGTTTGAACTCCACACAGGCATGGGACTCTTCATATTGCTGATGGCGTAGATCACCATGTTTCGATCTTTCTGCATCGCAAACAAGGACGCATTCGTGGAGTTGTTCGTCCCAAATCTCGCTAACACAGTCCCGTTTCGATCATACACGCCCAGCGTCGCCGTCTCCTCGAGAACAAGCTCGCACTCCCGTCCACTCCCCTTCGTTCTCGACTGCCACAAGACCTCGTTGCTCGAACTGTCGCTAAACACCGCATTGCAATCCTCTCCCATCTCCAGAACGTACTCGGGCCTTCTCATGGATTTAATCCGGCAGCCCGGGTAGAGCCTGTCGAAAGCACTGAAGCTCAATCGCGTCCCCTCGTAGCCGTAGCAGTAGCCGATACTATCCGTGGTGTTTTCGATCCGGAGAGACGAGCACGATCCATTGGATCCTCGCAAGTTCATCCCCTGGATGTAGTATCCGGCTTGGAACTGGCCTTGCGTGACATAGGCGGCTCCATAGCTGCGGTTCATGAGACTTTGAAGATCCGGCAAGAGAGCCGTGAATCCTTCGCGAAGCTTGCTGCCACTGCTACCAAAATGTGGGCTAAAGCCGGGGCCGCAGTGGTCGACGTTGTAGAAGTAGAGATTGAGAACCAACGAGAGATTGGATTCCGGGAGAAACAAGGTGTCGCCAATGGCCTGGCCCCGGAAGTATGGATCCGTGGCTCCATCGTAGACGAGCTGGGCAGGGATTGTGGTGATGAGGGCTAAGAACCTGGCGTGGAGCTCGTTGCTGGCGGCATCGGTGAGGGTGTGATCGTCGTCTTGGGTGTGCATGAGGAGCTTCCCAGCGGCTAGAAAGTTTGCTCCAAGGATCATCAAGAGGGTCAGGAATAGCATAATCATGACAATAGCTGATCTGATCGATGGCTAGTTTGCATAATCCAGCCCCCCTCCCCTGTTTGCCCCAGCCAGAAGGAGCACCCAGCTCGCAACATCCTCCGGATTCAAGCTTCTGGTTGCACTTGATCAGCTCCAAGAGTGCTTGCTGCTAGCGAATATAACCGGGGAGACAGGAAACGCATTTGTGGTTCAAACTATGTTATTAGCTGAATATGCTCCCTGGCACACGAAGTCTTGTCCAACACGGAAATAAAGATGGCACGAAGTGTGTACCTCAAACTCTCCGCAGAGCGCACGAGAAAGAGAGGGGCCAGCTGGAGCATTCCATCTGTTTGATTTTCTTTGTTTTTTTTTACGGTCTAACGAGCGTATTGAGCTCTCTTTCGTGTTTCTCTGTCCACGAGCGGAAAGACTGGTGGAGATCGATCCAAAGAACTTGCGCTTTGCCTCCCTGCACGCGATTCCAAGTCATGGTCGCGTCAACAAAGCTAGTCGCAGAGGGCATTTACAGTCTCATCTTGACACAATGCCGCACCGGAACACAATGATACAAGCGGCTGCTGAGAAGGTGTTCGCCAAAAGTGGTAGACTGCATATACCACGGCCAGACATTTGGAAAGAGTCAAAACACGTTGTTGGCGTTGAGGCATACATTATGATGGAAATATTCTTAAGATAAAAACCCTGTTTGATGAAAGGGATATAATTTCATACACAACATGGAACGCTATACTCGTGGGATATGCTGAGAATCAAAAGCTAGAGGTGTTTTTAATTGCATGCCACAATGAAATCTGGTGTGGACAATAAGGATCTCTGCATATGCCAAGGCCAAGTGTAACACAAATGCCATGAGCTTGTTTGAAGTGGGATATAACTTGCTGTTCTTAACACAACTCTAAACTGTAAAGAGATTTGGAAAAGGCAAAAGAATTCTTTGACAAGATGCCGGTGCAGCATTTGTCCTAAAAAATATTTAATACTAGCAATTGCTCAGCAAATGTTGCGTGGTTGACAAATTTGATGCCATTTCAAGAGGTTTGCTAAGCTTAGCTATGTTTACTGTTTGATCAACTTCACAATTGAAAAACATTCTTTTGACCAAATGTGTTATTTGTAATCATAAAATAGTAATGCATTTACCATACTTGATTGTTGTCTAAACTCCTCAAATCCAAATTTCCTATGTTGGAATTTATGAATTTTTCCCATAAGCATTACATAAGCTAGATTAGATCACTATTAAGTTGCATTCCTCCATTTTGAATGCAAAGAGCCCAAAGAATACTTCCAAGTCCATCTTTGATGCAGGTGTTGCTACTTGCTCCACAGCCCATTAGAGAGGTTCCTCTTGGGATGAGCTGGGAACCATTATACTGCAATGAGAGTTGCACTCAAGAAGCAATAGGATGAAAACTGTACCTCTGCCATTAGTAGCATAATAGCATGTTGCCATAACCAAAATGGCACACCACCCAATGCACACCACTCAATGCTAGCTTTGTTGTGGTGTGCACTTCAAACTCATAACTGCAGGTCAAAGGTGGCTGAGTTAATAGCTTTGTGGAATCATGGTTGGATTTGGAATTGTGCCATATATTGGTCAGTCTACTTAAGAATTTTAGCATAGATTGTATTCACAATGTAAAAGTGTTGATTATGTGGTATAAGATTGCCTTGAAGGGGGGTTGTGAGCACTTGAACACGAAGTTGTTTAGGTGATTTACACCTTGATAGAGCAACATAAAGTTGACTATGTGTGAAAATAAGTTGAAGGAGGTAAATGCCAACACGATCATGATCGAAATTTTGGCCTTAAGCTTTAGAAATAGTTAAGCAATAACCCACACGAACTAAGAATTCTCTTCAGGACATCTTAAAAGGGATTTCAAGATCAGAAGGTGTAAAGGTAATACATAGAATAAAAACTCGTAATCCCTTGAATTGTCTTATGATAATTTCACAATCCAAAATGTTTTGAGATGCTTGAATGAGAATGAGGTGAGTGTGAAGATATACTCCTAAGAAGAATCAAAATCACATTTTGTTTTAGAATTAATTTGTGTGGTGTAGTCTCGATAGGGTGATTGAATTTAAAAATTCAATTGAGAACTCTTCAGGCTGATCTAAGTCAATTGTGTCAATGCTCAAGTAAATAAATGCTCAAGACTACGTAGTAGTCTTCCAACAATGTCATTATTTATTCTAAATATGTCATCATTGAGTGGGGTGAGAATAACCTTTGATGCAACTGTGTAAGTCTTTATAATATCATCGGTATTTGGGAAAACAAAGTTTATAACAAGTGTAGAGATAGATTATTCATGTGGTATTTTGATAATATCTGGTGGGAGATATGGCAACTACAAATTACTATCACCATTGCCAAGTTTGAGATGCCATTCAGAAAAATAAAGATTACTTGAATGTATGTTCTTTATTAGTGTTAGTGTTGTAGAGAGTGACTATAATCTATTTATTTTAACTGAGCTTGAAATAATAGAAGTTCTATAGCCATAGGGAACAATAAAAAGGGTTTGACAAAAGTCAACACTTGTAACCATTATAATGCCTCCAAATAGTACATTTGAGATGCTTTAAAAATTTATCAACTGCAGAAAAAGCATGTGTGTGGACCATATTAATTTCATCCCATATGAAAATATTTTCTTGTTAATGGTTTTTCTAGCAATACTATTAATTGTTAAAGTAGAAATAGAAGTTTCATTGAAAGGAACAGAAAGCTTAAAAGTTATATGTGTCATTTAACCATATTTTAGCAAAATGCCTGCAATTCTAGTTCATGCCATATTGATTACTTTTTATTTTTTTAATTGTAATGTTGTAATGATGGTATTAAGTAGAAAAGTTTCCCAGTACCACTAGATGTAGCAAAAAAGAAACATTGATGATGGTTAGTGTCATAATGAATTCAAAAATATAACGTTGTTCATGATTGAATTGATTTATGTTTGCATTGATTTGGTTTTGTGATGGATTAGAGATTTATGTATTAAGCATGTGTTCGACAATGGGAGTAAGAGTTGGGAGTGGTAAACAAAAATCACAATTAGATTTATTCTGTAGTTGGAATTTTTAGTTAATATTGAGTAAAGCAATATCAAAATAGTTTATATAATTTCTAGCATAATCCTTAAATATATCAATTTGAATTGATTCTATAATAGATTTGGATCTTTTAGTGAATAATACAAACAAATAAAAAATAATAATTGTCTTAATTGGGATGGCATTTTAAAAGTAGAAGCTTCTTATATACAATATTGCCATTTTGAATCATCTGTTAGAAGTTCTATTGCCATAGCTACTTGTTTAAAAAAGGAGAAAATAACACCTTTGACAATATGTATATATCCTCAAATGATATAACACCTTTTTTATGGAATAATAAAATGGTACAACTCACTATTAGAAGAAGATATAGAATACATTCTTGGTATGAATTTAGCTTTTCATTGGCATAATTGCCATTTATGAAAGGATTTATTATATATATAGTATAATGGAATTTGAGCATATGTGTATTACCTTGCATTAGTATCTTGCATGTTTAAATTGAACCATTGTGTAAGCATTATTCTATTTTGAGTGGTTCTTTCTAGTGCTTTTTTTTCATGACCTGGTATGAAATAGACATTTTAAAAATTAGGTAAATGAACTAGAAAGCATATAATAGTTAGTGATTTATCATGCATATGAAACTTAAATATATGCCACATGGCTTTGGGAGCATAAATATATCAAACATTGACAAAACTTGAGATTTCGTCCCAATTTAAAGTTCCTCATTGGTCAAATGTAGTTAGGAATTCTAATGTCACATAGTCATAACCTTTGTATACATATTAAAATAAATACTTAATACTTTTAATAGAAGCACAAATTTCTACATTGAGGTGTGCTTTATATTTCTTACAAAGGTATTTATTATAAAGAACAACTCATCTATTATCAATAGTACAACCATTTTTTATGAAAGTGCGTATATTATTGAGTCGGTAGTAATAAGGATAACCATCAATACAATAAATGGTTTCAACATTAAATTCTTTTAGATAATTCTTAGAGCATTTGTTATTTTCCATGCAAGGGCTTCTAGAATTTATATTACCATATGGACCATATATCATATAATTTGTAATTATGTTATGCAATTCTGGTTTTAGCAGTGGGTGTGGCAACTGTGCAGTGGTAAATTTGTCAACCGAGTCATGGTTTCTTATCTTGTCTTTGCTTAATAATATTGCTAAGAAATGACAATGAGGCAAACCTCTTTTCTGGAATTTAATAACATAAACATATGCAATGCACTTCCTAAAAATTCCTTTGATACTTATGTCATGTAGAAATTCTTTAAGTTTTAAGTTGAAAACTCTTGAAATAAGATCAGGTCAATCCTCAAGTGATTTATTGGATTGTAAATTTTACACAATTTCAAGCCACTTTGGGTTGCGTGTAAATGTAATAAATAAGTCAGATTTTCCAAAATATGTAACAATAGCAATAGCATTTTGATAATATTGTTGCATTGCTCATAGGCTATTAGAAAATACAGAAGGTAAAATTATAACTTTTCTAGACTGAACGTTATTAGTAGCACCTCTATTGCTAATATAGTCCATAAGACCTATGTAGCAATCCACTTTTAAATATTTTTGATGAGTGCTAAAGAAAGTAAAGTTGCTAGGTTCAACTTTTACATAAGCATCAACCATAAATTGTTAAATAAACTTCCCAACATGTAACAAAGGAAAGAGTTGCCAATGCTATTTTGTTGAGATAATTAATATACATAGTATTGGAGTAACGTTACATTGGACTCATTGTGGTAGATTTTTTCATGCTAACCTTTATCACCAAATGGTAAAAGTAAAGGATAAACTATAGAATCACAATTTTCATTAAGAATAGATTTTTTTTTTGGCTGTGAGTTTTATGGATGTATGTGTATTTCTTTGTCAAGAGATGGCTCACCCTCATCAATAGCAAAAGCA